TTATCTATGATGTAGAATATTATTGTTGAAATATTTCCGTCAAATTTTAATTTCCATCAATTTTTAATTAAAATGCAATGATCTAACCATTTATTTTTTTCATATTAGTTAATTATAGATCATTTTTTATTTGCAGTCAACTATTAATATTCATTTCATTTTATATTTTCAGTTAATTAATAATATCATATTCATTTTCAGCCAATTATTATTTTTTATTTTCAGTCAATTGGTCAATTAGAATATCAGATGTAGTGATATTTTACCCAATTTTCGTTCCATTTTTAATTGATGATGTAGAATATTATTATTAAAATATTTCCGTTTCATTTTTAATTTTCATTGCATTTTTAATTTAACTTTATTATTGATTAGAATATGCCTTTATTATTGATGATGTAGAATATTGTTATTTAAATATTTCCTTTTCATTTTTAATTTACGTTTACTTGATGATGTAAAATATTATTATTGAAATATTTCTGTTCCATTTTTAAAATTGTGAAAGATTTATGACATAATTATGGTTTGATGTACTATATTGTGTAATATTATTGTAAAAAATTAAAATGTAATAATTTGACCATTTCCCTTTTCCATTTTAGTCAATTATGGATCATTTTTTATTTTTAGTCAATTATAAATATTTATTTCTTTTTTCAATTAACCTAATTTATGTTCCTTTTTTTCATTTTAAATTTTCAGTCAATTATTAATATTAAGTTATTTTTTCAATTTACCTAATTTCCATTCCATTTTTAACGGATGATGTAGAATATTATTGTGAAATATTTATGTTCTTTTTTTTCATTCTTTTTTTTAAAATTTACCTTTACTATTTACTATTGTTTGGGTGGAAAATCAAGTAAATAGGATTTTGTTTTTAATTATAGTATAGATTAAAGAGAAAAATTTGTGTATGATAATAATTGATGGACGAAGTCATATATATATATATATATATATATATATATATATATATATATATATATATATATATATATATATATATATATATATATATATATATAAACATAAACATAATAAGTGTGAATGAAAGTTATACCCCTGATTTATGTCCGTTTTTTCCGACCCATATTTTCTTCATTAATAATGTTGGATCGCAGCTGCACTATGCTTACTTCCCAGGGGGTCACCCATCGAGCAAGGGCTGAACTCGGCCAACCCGGCCGATGCCCAACAATCCCCCTCCCAACACGCCCACCAGGTCCTCCGTGACCTCGGCTCTGACTATTGCTTACTTCCCAGGGGGTCACCCATCCCGGGATTGCCGAAAGTCAAGCACGCTTAACCACAGAGTTCTATGGTATCTGGCTGCCATATCCTACTTAAAACCAATTAATGATAGGTAGGTGGACATTAACCATTTAACCACATCTCTCCATGGTAAGCCACAGCGCCACGTCTCGAATCGAGCAGGGGCTGAACTCGGTCAACCCGGCCAACGCCCAACAAATAATAATATATACACGTTAAATATTTGAGTTATATGTTAATTATTACATAAATATAAATATCAAATTTATAAAAATGATTTACATTTATTATTATTTAGAATAATTTAAATATCTAAAATCTAAATAAATTTCAAAATTTAATATAATGTATTAATATTGAGCACCTATTTTTTGCGCATCGCGCATAAAAAATACTAGTGTATATATATATATATATATATATATATATATATATATATATATAATAACGCCACTTTTCCATGATTAAATTCGTCCCTCAATTATAATTAATGACTTGATGTCACCTTAATTATGTATTGTGTGGCTATTTTAGCCTTTCATCTCATTAATTATGTATGGGGATTTTGGTGTTGTTCCAGTGTTTTTTCCCGGCAATGACGAAGATCGTGGGAGCGTTGGGTCCCAATTCTCGATCCGTGGAAATTATTTCTCATTGTCTTAAAGTTGGGATGTCTGGTAATTTGATGATATTTCACCTTCATGGTTGATACATGCGTGGTTATTGACATTACAAATAGTCAATATTTATGTGTTGTGGTTGATTGGTAGTGACGAGATTTGATTTTTCATGTGGAAATGCCGATTCTCACCAAGAAAACACTGGAGAATTTGAGAACCGCTATTAAGTTTATTGCTTCCTTTTCTGTTTTTCTGTTTCAGCCGAAAGTTTGTCTTATTTACTTTGAATGATCGTGGTAACCATGAACTATAATATAATCATATTAGCTGCTTGAACAACAGCATCAACAAAGCCTTATGGTGTATAATTAATACTTGCCATTTTCCCAGCAATTAATTTCGTCCCTCAATTATAATTAATGTCACTCTAATTATGTATTGTGGGGCTATTTTTGCCTTTCTTATCTCATCAATTTTGTTATAAATTTTATTTTATTATTATCAAAAAAAAAAAAAAACTGACCTAAAAATTTAGAACACCCGAGTTTGATGCAAAACATCTAGGTTTTAATCATTGGTCTCATTTGTGGAAATTGAAGGTCCCCTGAGTGGAGGACCTTTCTTGGGAGGTAGAGCTCTGAATAATGTCTTGCCCACTACTACAAATTTATACCAAAGAAGGGTATAGAAGTAGTGAGCCTAGTTAGCATGGCCAAAGTGTGGAGATCAGAGTGCAATGAAGATTTGGTTTCTTTTGTGTTTAGTCTAGGCGTGTTTGGCGTGATTGTGGGTTAGTTGCCAACGATTAATGTGAATGGCCTGGATTTTTCAACATGGTTGAGTAGCTTGTGGACGTCCTCGGAGGTGGCTGATTTACTTTTTTAAAAAAAAAAAAAAGAAGAAGATATTATTATGCATGGTTTGGTTTAATAATATGTACTATTTAGTTTTATAATATGTCATTTGCTAATCACATTGTAGTTAATTTGATGATATCGTTATTCTTTTTCATAAAGAAAGTCGCAGATATATATCTCATATGTCTTTTAATTATAGACTTATCGTTATAAAGTTATTTGAAGAGTAGATTCAATACAAGTAATAATAATACGTAGCACACTACAAAAAGTAAAATATAACCCTTCAAAAGTCAATATGACAAATAACTCTATAATGTTTGCATACTTCTATATCTTTTTTAAAAGGAGAAAATTTTATATTCCGACATGGTTCATTTTTTTTTTCTTTTCAGAAGTAAGAGAAAATAAATAACAATTTTAAATATAGAATATCTCTCTTTTGTTTAGCATAACATTTTAAAAATTTGAATAAACATATACCAGAAATTTTTAGGACCAATTGTACTTTAAGTCCTTAACATAAATATGAATGATTAAAGGGAAAATGACGGTTTAGTCCATCAATTATACTCATATTGTAGATTCGGTCCATGAATTATTACCATACATAATTTTTTTTCCTTTGATTATGTGTACAATGGTAATTTTAGTCCATATTAACAAATTATGTTAATATTAATAATGCATTTTAAATTTCTAAATTATTGAGGGACACCTTAGTTATTTTTTATTTATATCATTTTTGTATACTTTTTTTTTTTTTTTTTTTTTTTTTTTTTTTTTTTTGCCATTGGAGTGCAGCTAAAAATGTTCAAAATCGTTTTGGTTTATAAGTTTACTAAATATTTCTAGTTGAAATAAATATTATGAATTTATGTACATCGTTGTTTTCATGTCAATAAGTTGGAGTGGGTCTTCCATCAATAAGCACTTCCAATTCATATGTCATTTCTATTTTCTTTAAACAATAAAAAAAAAATAGTAGTGGTTCTGCCACGGTTGCATTTTTAATTTTCATTTGCAACAAGACATCACAAAAAAACAAGCATATTAGATCATTGACAAATATATATAAAAAATGTTACGAAATAGTTTGTTCACACAAAGAAATGTTATTATGAAAAACTAATATGAATATACATATTATAATTCACAAATCAATGTATGTTATTTGATCGAACATCCATTTTGCTTAAATGCTCTTCAAGAAACTATGTAAGAAACAAAAACATCACAAATAATACATTTTGCTCATATATTACACTAATATATATAAATATGAAACCAAGCATATAAATATCACCTTGATTATTTAGAAAAATAAATTTATTTTCTGACTAGTAAATTAACATTTAACTTTGAAGTTAAAGATAATTACATACATGTTTATAAATCTTATAAAACTAGCGATTCTTCATTACAAATGAAGAGAATCGGTATATATGAAGATTTAGTTGAGGAAATTTAAGAAAACTCTATGAGATGACTAATATGTCTTCCAATAATTTGAAAATTTGAAGTCCAATGTTAATTTTTAGCTACACTCCAATGGCAAAAAAAAAAAAAAAAAAAAAACTGTATCAAACTCAATCATTAATTAATTATTTAATACAAAATAATATAAATTAAAAATGACTAAGGTGTCCTCCCTCAATAATTTAAAAATTTAAAATGTATTATTAATATTAACATAAATTGTTAGTGATGCGATGAATTAAAATTGTCACTTTACACATAATTAAAGAAGAAAATTTGTGTATTGTAATAATTCATCAACCGAGTCTATAATATATTAATATATGTATAATAATTAATTAATATCACCATTTTTTCATGATTAAATTCGTCCCTCAATTATAATTAATGACTTGATGTCACCCTAATTATGTATTGTGTGGAGGTCTTATCTCATCAATTTTGTTATAAGTTTTATTTTATTTTATTATTAGAAATTAGAAATGTAAAGAAAAAAAAATAAAAGTGACGTAAAAATAAAAGAACAGGGGAACACATGTATGGCCATTTAATTTTGGCTATCCTAGCCTCCTAGGAATCAATCAAAGATGCAAATTTTCTCAAAAAAAAAAAAAAAATCAAAGATGCAAATTTTCGTAATAAATTTTGTTTTATATTTGAAATTTTATGTACTAGTACTAGTACCAGCTACAAAGCCGCCGAGAACCATAACGTGTCTTCCCGAAAAAGAAATAGTACTCCTATTACGTAAAACTAATAACTGAACTTTTCATACATTTCTCTCTCGATCATTTGTGTTTGAGTTTAAAGTCGAATCTCAGAAAAACAAACATCATCTACGTAAAAATTCTGCAGTATCAAACAACGAACGATGCATTCTAATCACTTGCTACTCGAAGAACCCATCCGGATGGCCTCCATTTTGGAGCCATCAAAAGCTGTAAGTCTCTGTTTTTTCTCATAATTTTAGCCCCAGATCTGTTTTTCCCTATTGATTCATATGATATTAACGGTTTCTGGATCAGTGTTCTATTTTGATGATTCGTTTTTTCTTATGGATGGGGATTTTGGTGCTGTTGCAGAGTTTTTTCCCGGCAATGACGAAGATCGTGGGAACGTTGGGTCCCAATTCTCGATCTGTGGAAATTATTTCTCATTGCCTTAAAGCTGGGATGTCTGGTAATTTGATGATATTTCACCTTCATTGTCTGATACATGCGTGGCTATCGACATTGCAAAGAGTCGTTTTATAATATTTACGTGTTGTGGTTGATTGGCAGTGGCGAGATTTGATTTTTCATGTGGAGATGCCGATTCTCACCGGGAAACACTGGAGAATTTGAGAACCGCTATTAAGATTACTAAGAAGCTCTGTGCTGTATGTACATAGATTGCTTCCTTTTCTGTTTCAGCCAAAAGTTTGTCTTTATTTACCTTGAATGATCGTGGATTACTATAATAATCATATTAGCTGCTTGAACAGCAGCATCAATAAAGCCTTATGGTGCTTGTTTAATCCAACCTAAAAATGCATTATGTTTATACGAATCGAAAGCTAGCAGGTCTGCATCCAGTGTTTGTGATATTTCTGTAATAATTTATGTTACCTAACATGCTGAATTGCTGATTAAAGCTTGTTGTCTTTGACCTTTTCAGGTTATGTTCGATACTGTAGGCCCGGAATTGCAGGTGGTTAACAAAAGTGAGAAGGCTATTTCCCTCAAAGCAGATGCCACTGTCACCCTGACACCTGACAAAGGTGGAGAAGCGTCTTCAGAAGTGTTGCCTATAAATTTCGCTGGATTGTCTAAGGTTTGTCCCATTTCATAGTCCTAACTTTCATTGTAAATTTATCTCCAGGATCTTTATAATTGCTTGTCAGATATTTTGCTTCTTCTGATACACATTTATATATTTCTGTAGGCTGTGAAGAAGGGAGATACCATTTTTATTGGCCAATACCTCTTCACAGGAAGTGAGACTACTTCTGTTTGGCTCGAGGTATGAACTGAAGTGCCTAATTTCTGCCTGCTCCCTTTCTTTATTCACATTGAATATTCATTTGAGGGTTCAGAGTTGGCACAGTAGATGAGGGGAGTTTTATGTTATTGATTCTTTCATTGTTGGAAATAACCATTGTTTTTGATGAGTTAACTTAATTGAAGGGTAACAATTCAATGTTTTATCTTGCATCACATTGTCCATCTAATATGAAGCACTAATTTAATGAGTTTATGTCTAATTGCTTTCACAGGTAGATGAAGTGAAGGATGAGGATGTGGTTTGTGTTATAAAGAACTCTGCAACTTTGACGGGTTCATTGTTCACTCTGCATGCTTCTCAAATTCATATTGATCTCCCTACTCTTACTGATAAAGATAAAGAGGTAATAATAATCTCTGACAACTGCAGAGTTGTTTGTCTTTTATATCTCAGATGTTATGTTAGAAGACGTACGTGATTTTGGGGAAATTTACTTGGTGATCTTTGTACAAAGAATTGAAAATTGAGTATTTCCTCTCTGAAGCCAAGCAGAGAATCACACTTATATGTTTAACTATTTTTTAAGGCCATAAGCTCATGGGGAGTTCAAAACAAAATTGATTTCCTTTCACTATCATCTACAAGGCATGCTGAAGACGTTCGTGAGGTACGCTTAATGTTTTCATGGCTTCCTTATTTCTAATTCAAGTACTACTTGCAGCCACTCTGCATGGTTCAACAGTCAATGATAATTGGGATGATTTTGTGCTTAATTAAATTCAGGCTCGCAATTTTCTATCTAAGCTTGGAGATCTTAGTCAGACACAGATCTTTGCTAAAATTGAAAATGTAGAGGTAAGTTTTATCCTTCTGAAGTCAAGATTAGGCTTCCATGTCCTTAGGGCTGGAAAGATTTGACTATATCCTACTTTCTTTTACCATGTCCTTAGGGCTTAACTCATTTTGATGAGATCCTTCAAGAGGCTGATGGTATCATTCTTTCTCGTGGAAATCTTGGCATTGATCTTCCACCTGAGAAGGTTAGTTTATCTCATATTGGAATAGGAACAGCTCTCTTATTGACTATATGGTGTTTATGATTATGAAGTAGGTGAATATAATTTTACTTTTTGCATCATACATTTATAAGCAATCCACACTTAACTGGCCTGAAGGCTGTATTAAAATGTGAGTGAGTTTGGACTGACAATTGATGTTGTAAGGGACAGTACTTTTTCCTTGAATATTGTTGTGCAAGAGAAAAATGAAGGGATTCAAGGGAAAGATGTTCTCTTTAAATTCTGCCACTAACCTCTTATTTAGAAGGAGAGTAAATGTATTACTCAGTAATATTCATATTTATTAGACTAGTTTTTGGATCCCCTATAAACTACACAATTTTGTTTCATCTTTGGCCACATTAACATCCCAGTTCATTTAGATTATTATTCGATAGTAGTTATTGCATTTTTATATTTTTTGGGAACTGAATAGATCAACAGAAAACTAATTCCAACTTTAATGGAAAAAGACTGCTTGTAACTTAACAAATCCATTTTCTTGGTGAATTTCTATTTTTGCTGAATGATGAATAAAACATTTCATGACATATTGCTCATTTGATGTATGCTGTGGGATGTCCAGGTGTTTTTGTTTCAGAAGGCTGCAGTTAACAAGTGTAACATGGCTGGAAAACCAGCAGTAGTAACACGCGTTGTTGATAGCATGACTGACAACCTTAGACCTACGCGTGCTGAAGCAACTGATGTTGCTAATGCTGTTTTGGATGGTAGGTCTTGCTGCTTAATTATTCAATAAGCTTTGAAATAACTTTCATGTTTATCTTAAGGATTAGGTACCTTTTGCTTATGTTAGTTTTGTGTACTTCTGAATTGGTCAGTTTTTTACACCATATACTGTTATGTCATATTGTAGGGTCAGATGCAATTCTTCTTGGTGCTGAAACTTTCCGTGGATTATACCCTGTTGAGTGCATTTCAATTGTGGGAAAAATTTGTGCCGAGGTAATCATGCATAGATTAAGGATGCAGTTGGTTCTCTTCTCACCCTTCAAGGAGGAATATGCTTTTGGCTCTACTTCTGTATTTTGGTTTGGTCTTTGTTTTGAAGCCCTAGGCCTTTCTGGCCTTGATATTGTCACTTTAAGCATAAGCGTAATTTTTTGGTCTAGATGTTTGTGTCGTGGTTGAGCTTTTTCTCCAAGAGTAAGGATTAACTCCTAATCTTTCTGCAGGCTGAGAAAGTGTTTAACCAAGACATGTACTTCAAGAAGACTGTTAAGTTTGTTGGGGAGCCCATGTCACATCTCGAATCGATTGCTTCCTCAGCGGTATTTTATTATACGTTGTTATATATATTACTGTTTTTAGCTTCTCATGTTCTCTTCAATTGTATCTATTTTCCCTCTTCCTAAAATGGTAAAGAGATCGAGAAGCCACATATAGACTCAACTGCATTATTCTTTCAGATAATGAAAATTTCATTCCCCATCTTCTACAGGTAAGAGCAGCCATCAAGGTGAAAGCTTCTGTTATTATTTGCTTCACTTCATCTGGAAGAGCTGCAAGGTATTTTTATTTATAGTGTGTTTCTCCAACATATCAATCTCTGTTTTTAGACATTTTTATTGTATCTCTTGGTCGATGTTAAGAGTTTCTTGGCACATTTGAATGCAGACTAATAGCAAAATATAGGCCAACAATGCCAGTACTATCAGTAGTAATTCCTCGGCTCAAGACCAATCAACTTAAGTGGTGTTTCAGTGGTGCATTTGAGGTATTTCCTTTGCTACCCATCACAGCAATGTGGTGAAAATGCTATATATGCAACCTTTGGCCATGTTACTAGTTCAAAATGCCATTACTTAAAGGCTAATCTACTATGTGGAACTCATACTTTAAAAATGTTTCAGTTTCATTCTATATTTATTGTTCACTTTCTATTATGGTCAGGCAAGGCAGTCCCTCATTGTACGTGGACTTTTCCCCATGCTAGCTGATCCTCGACACCCTGTAAGTTTTTGTTTCATTTTGGCAAAATGCATTTTCTTTCTTGCGAAACCCGCAGTCATTACCCAAAGGGGTGTGCACGGGATAAACCCCACCTTGTGTCTGGCTTGAACTAAGAAGACGTATAAACTGCTCTTACTGGGTCGGACTTGTAACTTTGTGGTTATCAAGTCAATAGTCACCAATTTGGCTGGAGTTTTCCGAACAATAAAATATTAGACCTTTGGACTCATGCATTGCTCAAATATGTTTGGGACTAAGATTCTAGTATCATGGTATTTGTGGGTTTATAGGATTGTATATGTCTAACCTTTTTTACTTTAGAACTCTGAACACCTGGAAATGAAAAGTTGGAATGGTAACTTCCCCAACACTATAGATTCATATTTTGAACCACTAAAGAGGGTAGTTTTGTGTTGCTATCATATCTGTCATTTTATCGTTTTTACTGCAGGCCGAGCATAGAAATCCCACGAACGAATCTGTGCTGAAAGTTGCGCTTGACCATGGGAAGTCTGCCGGAGTGATCAAATCGCGTGACCGAGTAGTGGTGTGCCAGAAAGTTGGAGATGCATCAGTGGTTAAGATCATCGAGCTTGAAGACTAGATTTTTAATTTACTGGGTTCTCCCTCCATTTCTTCCCCACAATTTTGCTGTGTGTGGGGCTTTGTTGGTGAGCATTTTGATTAGAGAAGAGAACTAGCTAGGATTTTACCTTGGTTTTGGGTAAATTATAATTTGGCATATAGCTTTAAAAGCAATATGACATTCTGTGAAAGCCATTGTTGAAAACCACTGAAACTGATTTTGTTCGCAAGGGTAAATAAAAGCAATATGGCATTCTGTTTAGTGTTCAACAGATGTGATTATGTGAACTCAATACTCAAATTTCAACTCAAGTTCTGGTCAATGCTATTGGAGTGTTTTGCTCTAAATTTATGTAGTTTCATTTGTCTTTCATTTTCTTGTGTATAAAAAAGTATGGGATAAGGGTCAAATAGGCCCTCAAACTATACTAAAAAAAGCAATTAGGCCATCAATCTATAAAAAGCTCCAATTGAACCCTTCAACTTGTTCAATTAGTGCAATTCAATCAATTTGCCTGTAAGCTTCAAGTCAATGCTGACATGAGCATCCATGTGGATTAAAAAAAAAAAAAACAAAGCCTAAATAACCTACGTGTATGCCAACAAAGAAATAACTTTTTATTTTAGTTATAAAACAAAAACAAAACCCTAATCTAATTCTCAATCAATCACCTCTCTCGTATTTTTTTCCCTTCTCTGCCATAGCCGTTCCATACTTCAATCTCCTCATCTCACGTATTTATTCTCTTCACTTCTTGTCCAGAGATAATGTCTTCTTGGAGTGCCTCTTCATTGTCTTCTCTATCAAAGGTGAGACCAAATCAACAATACGATCCCTCCTTGTGGTGTCATTGTAGATTAAAATCTCCAGTTTATGTATCACAAGATATTGGCCAGCAATTCTTTGGGTGTCAAAGATATAAGGTATGACTATGTTAACCTTTCAACTTTGGGTATTACTATGCTAAAAGTTTGAATTTTAAAAATGTGTTATACTTACAGTTTGCTTTTCTAATTTTTTTTTCGTTTTTTTTTTTTGTTGAAATTGTTCTTTATCTTTAAATTTGATTAGCATTATAATTTTTGGCTCTTTTGAATTTTTATTAATGTTTCTTTATTTGTTTCAGGAAGGTGGATGTGTCTTTTTATCTGAAAAAAATTATTATACAAGGATGATGATGTTGAATCTGATCTTAGCGTTGAAGAATCTCAAGCTTGAAGTGATGAAAGATCTGAAATTGGTTATTGAATCTGAAATTTCGTAGGCAAAAATGAAGTTGAGTCTAGAAGCAAAAAACTTAATAAATTGTTAAGTTTTCTGCAAAATGAAATTGAGTTTAGCAATTGTAGTAGGACTGTCTGTGTAGCAATTGTAGTAGGACTGTCTGTGTATTTAAGTTTGCAACAAATGAAATTGAGTTTAGCAATTGTAGTAGGACTGTCTGTGTATTTAAGTTTGCAACAAATGAAATTGAGTTTAGCAATTGTAATAGGACTTTCTGTGTGTGTAAGTTTGCAGCAAAAGGTGAAAAAATGGATCTTTGTTGCCTTTGTTGTAGATTAATTTTTTTTTAAAAAAAAATTTCATTAGTCTATTAATGATATTGGCCTTAGTTACGGTGGATATAAATTGTAAATTGTTAAGTGACTATGAAAATGTTTTCTTATATTGGTTGAAACATTTGTAAATTGTAATGAAAAAATAATTTGATTTGGCCAGAAAGCAGATCACCAAGTTAATACAACTTAAAAGACTAATATGGAATCAAGATTCCAGCTGTTGTTCAAATAATTTTCTGTGGGAAGAGATTCCTAGTAAGATGGGAATAATGCAGCCAGAGACAAGTGGATTAGCATTACAATAAAACAATTTGGTAGCAAAAAAAAGTCATCAAACAACTAGTTTAGTGGAACTTTTGCCACTTTACATAGCAAAAAAAGTCATCAAACAACTAATTCAGTGGAACTTTTGCCACTTTACATTTGTCTTAACTAGCATTCAAAACAGCAAATACTTTTTTAGTGTTTGTTACAATCTTACAGTAAACTACAATCTTTCATGTCTAATTCAACAGAATGTCAACTTCCAAAATAGAATTCCAACTTCATATTTCCAGTGCTCACTCGACTGCCCATGCTACAACAAAGAAAATCATGCTTAATAAATATTTTTAAAGATTAAAGAAATAAAATTAAAGAAGAATAACTGAGTATGACACCTTTCTTATCTTTGTTGGCCATTCCTAGTAGGACACCGTGTTTTATTATGGCCTAAATTCTTACAAATCGAACATCGCATTTCTTTTCCCTTCTTTGACAACTTCATCTTACCATTGGCAATGGTAGTGCCACTAGTATTAGTAGTGCTATTGCCATGACTTGATGGAACTTCACTAGCCTCACGATTTCTTTTTCGTTTAGGTCTCCCGGTCATTTTTTTGGGTATTGGAGCTCTTATCCCTTCACATTGGGTTTTTGGCCAAAACAATTCTCCATTCATAGGTTGGAGTGCATGTGCATAGGTCCTTAGGTATACTTCTTTTGAGTAACATGCATCAATGTAGCCCTCGGGATCTCTTCCTTGATCAAAGATGGCACATATTGCATGTGCACAAGGTATACCACTCAAATCCCATGACCTACATGAGCAACTTCTACTCTCAAGTTTAACCTTGAATTGGTTTCTCCCTTTTTTGATTTCATACCCATCATCTCCATTGAAATCAACCTACCATCAAATATATTTAAAAAGATAAGATACATACTAAATATAAGTATATAACACACCAAAGAGAGTAGATAACATCACATACTTACCTTCCACCCAAGACTCTCAACTATATTCTGATTAAGCTTCTTCATTATCAATGGTCCATGATTTCCAGTCCACCTCTCAACAGACTTCATTTTTGTTGCAATCCTCTTCATTACCCCTACTCGTATGTCTTCAAGCATTGGAATGATAGGTTCATAGGTTTGACTCTTGCTTTCACTAGGGTGCTGTTGAATGCCTCACATAGATTATTGTCAACAATATCACATTTCACATCTGTCCTAAAGAAAGCTTTACACCACAATCTTGGAGGGTACCTTTGTAATCATTCAATGTTATTAGTTTTTACCGAATATAAACCTATTGAATAGAATTTTCAGAACACAATAAGACACAGTTTTCTGAACAGATTAACATACCTTTCTAAGTCAGATTTTGCTGTAGGGTTTATCTTCTCTAGATGTTTCAACTGATCTTGAAAATGAGCTTCTGTGGTGGCTTTAGCACACATCCAAAAGTGCTTCTTCAACACTTTCCCTCTATGTAGCTTACTCCAATTAGAGTGCACATGTCTTGCACAATTACGATGCTCAGAGTCAGGGAATAGTTTTTTAATGACTTGTGTTAAACCCTACAAAACATACAAATGATAATGTTTCAAAAAAGGTACAATTTACTCTTTGCAATTTACATATACATGTTAGCTTTGATTTACCTTTTGTTGGTCACTCATAATTGTCCATGGGAAAGTATTGGTGATGCCCAAATCTATCTTCAATAACTCTAGAAACCAGCTCCAAGAATCAGTATTCTCTATATCCACAACCGCCCATGCTATAGGATACATTTGGTTGTTAGAATCCCTACCGACTGCACTTAAGATTTCACCTTTCAACATCCCTTTTAAAAAACAGCCATCAAGTCCAATAATTTTTCTACACCCATTTAAAAACCCTCTCTTTAACGCCGCAAAACAAACATAGAATCTTTGAAATACACATGGACTATCAGGGGTAGTTATATTAGTCTTAACCTTTGTAACGGTACCCGGGTTGGAGTTCATACATTCAACGGCATAGTCCCTAATTCTATGAAATTGATCCTCAAACCCAGCATTAATGTTCTTCACTATAGCTCTGACTGCTCTTCTCACCATGCTAATGCTCACATTAAGTTTCAATTCTGATTGAATATGTTTTTTTAGTTCCATATGTCCAATGGTAAGATCATCTCTTATCTTGTCCTCATACCTATCTTCAATCCACTTTTGGCTTACAATTCCCAGTGTATATTTTTGATTGCATCTATGCTCAGGTTCAAGTGTTTTCAGCTGAAAACACATGAACCTTTCTTCCCACGAACCATGACAATGAAATGGACAAGATTTTACACACTGTACAGTTACTCACTTGGGCTCATTGTGCACAAAGTGAATATCCCTCTTTGAATAAACTGCATAATTAATCATGGCTTTCTTGAATTGTTTTGCATCATCATACAAGGTACCCAATTCTAGTTCATCTATCTCAACATTAGGATTGTAAGAAGGATGTTTGAATCTACTCTTTGCCTTGTTGGATTGCTCAAATGATACATCTACATAATCTTTTTCAGACTGATAACTCGGGGGGTCATCGGAGTCATAATAATCACTTTGTACTTGCTCATTCTCACCCTTTCCTACATCTTCACTTTCAGCCTCAACTCTAGTCCACTCAACATCATATGCACTAACAACATCAACAAAGTTGTAATCCTCACCAACTAATCCCTCTTCTTCATCGTCATCAACCCTTTTTGAACTATCACCACTAACACCATCTTCATCACCTTCATCTTGTAGTTCATCTACTAAATCATCAACTTGAGCATGTGAACTACATGTTGGTTGAGTAATCACACCCCCATCTAATTCAAATTCCGATTGGGCATGCACAACACTTTGCTCTACCATTGGTAAAACTAAATTTGAAACTATTTCTGCATCATCAACCACATGCTCAACAAAGATGTCAACTTTACCCCATTTACGAGCCAAGTTAATTAGCAGAAGTGTACTAGCATCATTATTCAACAATTGTAGTTTCTTCATATCCTCATGGGGCAATTTAAAAGACAAAGATTCTATTTTACCATACCTCTCAACTGTAATATAATTCAATAGGTGATAATATGATATTAAATCAGGGTCAATTTTCACCTTTTCCACCCTTCCATTTATGTATTTCACTACGGGAGAGTTCATAAAATGCCCCCCATGATGTACTCTTAATTCTGCTTCCAAATGCATTCTACAACAAAAACAACGTAACAACAAAGAAACATTTAAGAAAACTATGAACCCTCACACTGAAATCAGTAAAGTTTAAAACAAAGGCAAAACTATACATTTTTTACACAATCTATACCCCACAATAAACAAGCTATAGTACCAACATAAAAGAAAAAGCTACTGACAACATACAATAAATTTGGTTAAATTATACTAACAAC